ATTTATCGTAACGAAATGGTTGAAACCCTGCCTGGACTTTTGCTTTAAAGGCGCAGTCGAAAGCCAGCAATCGTTCAGCTTGAGTTGAACTTGATCTACGAAAGATGAGGCAGTGCTGTGTCAGCTCAAAGGCTCCTACGTCAAAAACACTTCTGTATGCCTTTTTCTGGAGCAGATATGTGTGATATGACTGTTTGTTCCAATCTGTGAGGAGGAGTGCATTGAAAATTCGGCCGACGATTCCTGGGACTGCGACGGCGGCGTGTTTGACGTGTGAAAGTTATTGTCTATTGTCCGATTTTATTTCCATCATGCTGCATCTATTGGAAGGCCTTGTCGATGAGCCAGGACTCACTATATCAGCTCTTATCTCTAATCCTTTGGTTGATAACGCGTGAAGCGCAGCTCCACCTGAAAGACTAGCGATCGCCTTTGACTACCTGACGTGGCGTTGTTGGAAACCAGCGTAAAACGATAATAACATGACTGAACATGAGGAAACGATTTAATCCCTTACTTTGAAATAAATTTTTCATTGGGTATTTAAGTGTTGTCACAATATCTAATCTGATGTAGCTAATGCTGTGTGGTAGGATTCACTAATTCAGAGGCCCTGAAATTCACATCCTGGTTTTCACTTCGCTGAGCTGTCGAAAAAGGGCTGACTAGGAAAAGGGCTTGGCTGTACTTTCAGTGAACGTCAAGGTAATGCCCTTGTTGTATAATAAATATTTATCGTAAATGTTTCACGCGAAGTCTCTAGATATTGCTGAAGAGCAAACTAACAGGTTTTCTCAGTGAGTATAAGACAGCAAAAGACGTTGAAATAGCGTTTCCGAAGTAATGCACAACTATGTTCGGCGTGCTGACAGCCTGTTCAACTTATATAGGCGGCACTGACTTGAAGTTTGTTTGGCCTTGTCATAATCTCCACTTGTGCCCATCCACTCGAGATAACTTTGGTCATTCTGTACTATCACACTCCATTTCTAGAACGATCTCTCGAGCGTGCACTGCATACAAAAACAGTTCTCCTGATTTGAGAGGGATACATCGCTGAAAGAACAGCTTTGCACCTAGGAGACTTCGTCAAAACCTCCAGTTTGCTTTGGCTAAATTGTGCGATCGGAGGCTTTATTCCTGATCAGTTTTGCTTCGCCCGCTATCGCGCGCATCACACGGCGGGCTCTAGCGAAACTGGAGGATCCATGGAATATTAGCATGAGTACTGCCCCTTAACCTTCACTTCACAATGTACTCATGTAGGCCTTTTCCATTACGCGAAGTCCATCGAGAATGCCTCACAACAGTAAAGACATCCCAGCATTCGTCTTGAACTCAGTTCCACTTAGCGGTGAATAGGAGTGCTGTCAGTCTCAAAATGAAAATGAAATATGCCCATTTACCATGAGTGAGGAGCCAACGCTTATCATTTATTTACGTTTACCATTATTCAGAACCCCGAAGGTAGCGGTTTAATGGGTTTGGGCTTTCTTGATATTGCATTAGAAATGAAACCTATCATTTGCTGAAGACTTGTTCGAGTTTATGCAATCGACTCTATTAAGTAAGCTGGTCATGTCAGTACAATGTGCACGTACCACTACAAATACAAAGGGGGTCGTACTCTTGAAGGTCAGTAACAGCAGTGGTGTCGTGGTGCAGATAAGTAAGGCTAAGCCTTGACACGTGAGCACCTAATGAGCATCGCATAAGATGTTCCTGCCTGTAAGCACGTACAATGCGCGACTATGAGCGCTTTGTGCTCCGCACCCACTTTCCTCTGTTTCTTGGCGCCCTCTAAACTGAAGAGAGTATTGTGCCCAGCCCTCCCATATTAACTACCAGGAAGGTCTTTCAGGGCGTGACGAGCTTTTTGAAAACGGTCTTTTGCATGATATAGGGGCAGATGCGGGGAACCACAGAACCATGTTTAATTTTTCCTGAACGGCCCTCTGAATACCAGAAAAGGGGTCCCTAGTTCGATTCCTCTTGGTGACAAATTTTTGCATTTCGAGTTGACGTTCCAAAATTCGCGCAAAATGGAGTTCTGATTGTTCTCTGAATCTGGTTCCTAACTAACAATCAAGTAATTCCAATTGCGCGAATTTTGGAACGTCAACTCGAAATGCAAAAATTTGTCACCAAGAGGAATCGAACTAGGGACCCCCTTTTCTGGTATTCAGAGGGCCGTTCAGGAAAAATTAAACATGGTTCTGTGGTCCCGCATCTGCCCCTATATCATGCAAAAGACCGTTTTCAAAAAGCTCGTCACGCCCTGAAAGACCTTCCTGGTAAGCCGTATAATGTATGCTATGCGAATGCTGCGACGTGGCGCGGCGTTCAGGCCGCCCCGCACCAGCGGGACGGCGAACGCTGCGGCGTCGCTCTATTTTTGGATCGCTGCCCAGGATGGCAGGGTAGCGTCCTTGCACAGCAAAGTGGCGTCGTTGATTACGTTCGCTCTCACACTGTACGTGACTGCGGCCAAAGTATCATAATTGACGCCACATTCAAGTGCTCACCGTGTCTAAACGGCTTAAGCCGGTAAGAGGGTATAGCGCAGCAGAAAATGAAAATATCTGAAAAAAAACATGATATTAAATTTTCTTTGCAGGTTCAGTCGCTCCATTCCTCCACCTTCATGAGAAGGGCGTATTTGAAGGCAGTACAAAGAATGAAAGTGCATCCCCGCAAAGAAGACTGCCACATGTGCGCACGCGCTGCAAAGGCACCTCCTCTGCCTATCACTCGCTCCTTCTCCCTTAATACCTCGCTGAGAATGACACTGTTGTTAGGGACCCTGTCGCAAAAACGACAACCGTGAAGGAAAAGCCCTGGGCAAATGAAGTTTCTTAGGTTGTAGGAGTTACGAAATGCGTTTACTACAATGCAGCTTCTGTCAACTGGTCATGATCATATGACACCTTCGAATCGATTCTGCAACTTCGAGTGAGGTCGGATGCATGGCCTATACTCAGACAAAATTCGATGATGACGATTGCCTTTTTATTATTTGGGAGGATGTTTTCTAGACCCATTTCAAGCGTTGCCAACAATTACACTTGCAATGGTGAAGAAGGGAGCGGATTTTCAGGTGGCCGGATCCGTCCTCGATTACATACTCGACGCAGATATCTTCTCAACTAGGAAATGTAGAAGAAAGCTAAGAAGACCATCAGAAAGCGCAAACCTTCTGCCATGGAAGGCTTCCAGAGCAACTTCAATACTTCTTGGAAACGCGAAATCCAGCTCTAGCTAACCCTACCTCAAACTGCTTCAAAGGTTATGAAATGGAGGAATGCAACCTTTTCATCGAGGGCGTAGATTCGGACG